CTCACGAGCTCACAGAATCCACTCCTGGAGCTTCTCTGCCTGATTTGTTTCTGAAGACAATCACTTTTTCACTCACTGAAAGGCCGTAACTCCAGAGGAAAAGGCAAAGGCTTCTTTGCATGGTCTGACACGCGTCTACTAACGTGGGACTTGGTGGACCTGTTGAATCAGGGGGTTGACGGCAGACTCGGAGATGTGCCCGGGTCCCCTTCAGGAAGGACTTGCGGCCTGGCAGCAGCACTGAGTTGGGATGTGCGTCAGCCTCGGAGCCACCCGGCACAAGGTGGCACCTGTCCAGGGAAGTCCTGGCACAAGGCGGCATCTATCCTGTGACCAAGTGACACAGTGGGACATGCTCGGCTGTTCTGACCTGACACGGGATGCCTTGATGGGCGGCACACAATCCAGCGCTCGCGTTGGGACAAGGGATCGCCCCAGGCTTAGGACGGCTGCATCGAGCTGGGCTTCTCGGCCCAACCCTGCTCTTTCCTCTGTCCTTCACAGCAGCTGGTCCCTAAGACACACACCTTGCACCCAGATTCTGTCTCAGTGTCTGCTTCCAGAGGACCTGACCTGTGACAATGGGCTGCAATGCTCTAGAAGAGTGTCGTGGGTGGGAGGGTCTGGTGCAAAGGAAAAGGTTACAACGGGCAGAGGGCATGTGAGATGGCACCGCTGCTACCAACAAAGACTGGCTTTCCATCGCGTTTACAGTGAGAACCCTGGCCCAGCAGGTCCCACCCGGGGGGCTGACCCTGCCTGGCCCCAGCCTCTTTCCCCTGACCTCTCCTTGCTCTGCATACGGTCTGCGCCACAGCCACGCTGCCCGTCCCGTGGCTCCTCATGAGCCAAGGTGCCACCCGCTGGGCCCTGGAGCCTGCTTTCCCTCTGCACCCCGCTCTGCACTGCAGCCCCACGCTCCTCTGAGTCACCTCCTCGCTTCCGCGGGCAAGGCTGCGCCGGCCCCACACCCTCGGGTCTGGAACAAGCTCCTCACTGAAACCATTTTACTTAGTCCCGCAGGCCAGTGCTTCTTAGCCTTCATCTCTCCACCCCGATGACAGGCTTCAGGAAGGCAGCACGACGTCCAGTTTCTCTCGCCACGCTGTTCCTAGTTCCCAGCAGTACCTGGCATCGTAGGCTCCCAATTACCATTTGCTGAATAAATGGATACATGAACAAATGCAAGAAGAAAACTGCTGACCTTGGTTGGAGGGTTTGAGGTTTCTTAGGGTTAAAATGTAGCTGCGGGAGGTTAAAGCAAAGAGTTAAATGAAAGACTTACACGGTGGCAACTTCTAGAGCGAGCTTCTCCCTAGCCCCCCGCAGGGAGGAAGGCTGGGGTGGGTGGGTGGGCGAGGGAAAGTGCCCTCTGAAGTCATGGCACAGCTGTCTCGCTCATCGCAGAAGATCAAAATACCCAAGCGCCAGGCCTTAGAATAAACGAAAGTTATTCACTTCACAATCAGGAAGAAATGTTGAGGAATTAAAGCTGGAGTATGTTCTTGAACTGGATCTCACTCTCCAACACTGTGAAGTTACCTAGCTGGTATCGTTTTAAGGAATCATTCTAGTTAGCCTTGGGAAATAAAGTACCTGCCTTTTAATGGAAAAGCTGCTTCTCACTGTAAAGACAGCACACAGCGTTCTCGGCTTCTTCAGTATCTCGAATCTTCCATGTCAACAAATCAGGCCAGACTGATGCTACCTTTAAAAATAATAATACTAAGTAAGAAGTGCTGGCTCATCCTGAGGGGCACCATGCAGCAGCACTATGCAGATACGCCTGCCTCCCCAGAAGCCTCAAGAGACTTGAGAATCCACAGAACAAAGTTCAGAGCCACTGTCCTCGAGCAAGAGCTCAAGTTGGCCATGCATCCAAAAGTTCTTCTCCCCAAAAGCACCAAGGAAGTGTGAGTAACTAATCAACTGATCAGTCAGGTATTCATCCTGGGCGCAACCCCTGGTCTGAGGGGCCAGGTGAGGCTGGGTCCCTGTAACCCACAGCACAAGGCACAGCTCTTGCGCCCGCAAGTCCATACAGCCCAAAGGCACCAACTCTAAGCAGTATTTGCTATAGGCCAAGTGATTAGCGGTATTTTCTCATTAATCTTCCCAGTTAGTCTCTTGAGAGCACCTAAAGGCACACAGTTAAAAGGCAGTTTCAGACACAGGCCTGTCTGATGCTAAGCTCACACTCATGACCACTGTGCCCTTGGGGTTGGCAGAGTTCAGGGAGAGGGCGTCTGAGGGGGCACAGGAAGGCGAGGCTCCATGAGGAGGGCCATGGAGGAAGTGATGTGGGCCCTGTGGCGGAAAGAGGGTCGCAGAGGGAGGGGCAGAGAGAACCGAGCAAGGCAGCTGCTTAGGACACTGCGGCTGAGTGAAGACGCTGCCTTGCAGGCAGTATCCACACGCCCGCACGGCTTCCTTGTCAAATGCCACCGTGCTGCAGGAAGAGCTGGGATGGGAAAGGAGAGAAGGTTGCACGGAAGGGGGTCTGGCCTTTCCTCTGCCCTTCTTCTGTACACTCTTGGCCTGGGTCAGATCCCAGGCATGGGTGGCCATGCTCCAGCCCTTGGAGGCATGTGCTCCAGGAGGAGCAGCTTCAGGGACTGAGGGTGTCTGACGGCCCCTGGCCGGTTGCAAGCGACCTCACTGTCACCCTGCCTCCTAGCTCTGGCTCCCACGTGGGGAGTGACTCAGGCTGCCGCTTACTTCCCATCCACGGGACAGCGGTCGTGCAAGGACTGCGGAGGGCCAGGCCCAGCACCACGCGCAGGCTGCTCTACATGGGAGTACCCTTCGCCGGCAGCTTTGGGCTCTTTCGCTCATTCACCCATTCACTCGTTCAACAGGCAGTTACCGGAGACCCTGTGGGAGCCAAGGACCGCGCTATGTGGTGGGAGTGACAGGGCCAAACAAGCTGTCGCTTACTTTGGGAGCCCCGTCTCTCGCGGCTGATGGTGGGTAGTGGTGACAGATGGTGAAGAGTAACTGGAAGGAATATCGGGATGTGGAGAAGCCCAGAAGGCAGGACGATGTCCCGCCTGCTCGCACTTCGGGTGCTCCCTCTGCATCTCCGTGCCAGGCGTGCAGTCCAAGCCTCCCGGTGCTGAGCCCCAGTTCTTCCTCCCAGTGGCTTCTCCCCATCAGCCCTAATCCTGACATGAATTAGAAAAAAGGGATACGTGGCAAGCCTTTAGATAGGTCGCAGCGTGTTACTATCGGAGGTAAGGGACAATGCTGTCTACGTCACTGCCACCCTCCCGGTCACCATGACATCTTAGAGAAGACCTAGGCCATTTCCTAATCCCGCCTCATCCAGGCTGCTCTTCTAAGAACACCCAAGTTGGCCAAGGTTCTTATTAAAACAGGGAATCCAGGCCTCGGCAAGAGTTTCCAGCTGGGATAGAACTTCTCATGCTTCCTCAGAAGCACTACACTGACCCTCGCTGGAGAGGGGGCAGAAATCCGGTACCACCCGGACCTTCTCTCCTGGGCCACAAAGCCTCCCTGCAAAAACTGAAATCACAGCTTTGGGGAGCAGGTGGTCCGATTCCACTGTGAAGCCCAAAGGTACTGAGATAGGTGTGGCCCTAGGACAAGTCCTTTCTTCTTGATTGCTCTCCGCGGCTGGAGCCCTGACAGCAGCCTCTCCGTGGGTCAGCGCGCTGTGGAAAAGCAAGCTTGGCCGTATAACCAGTGCCTCCAGCAGCCCTGGGCCCTGGGAAGCAGTGCCATTCCCGGAGGTGCTGAGGAAGGTCTGGAGTGGGGAGGTCCTCTGAGGAGGCTCAGAGGTGACTCTGATTTGGGGACAGTAGCCCTTGAGGCAGAGGGCCCCGGAGCTGACAGAACAGAAAAGGTGCTGTGAAAGGGCAGTGCCAAGGGACAGGCACGCAGTGGGCTCAGTAAGGTCCAGCCCTTCAGCCAGGAAGAGCCGCATACAGCCTTGGCATGTGACAGTGTGGCAGAGTAGCTTTAGAACCACCACTCCCAGTCCCTGGGGTTCCCTCTTCATTCTGCTGCCTCCCCAGAATGGGTCTGTGGGGAATGCGGGCTTGTCAGATGCTGGGAAGTCTCCTTTCGGGAACCTGACGGGTTCTGAAGGGGGCGTTGTAATCCTCTCATGCCCCCTGTCCCCTGTACCTGCCCATGTCCTTCCTGGGGAAGGTCGCAGGATCTTCGGTGGCCACGTGCAGCCCGCGGCCTTGGGGTGGGCTGGGGGTGCCAGGCAGCCTGGGGCGAGGTCCTGCACAGGCCTCCGCGGACACTGGGCGTGTGCTTGGCATCGGGACACGCTGACCATGCTCTCCGAGGGAGGCGGTGTGGGGGGCGAGGGGTGGAATCCAGCGACGCTCAGGCCGTAGGAATTCCTGCCCTCCCCCTCCATCTGGCTGCCCGGCCTGTCTGGCTGGGCAGCGCCCACGGGCGGGACAGGGAGCCGGCGCGGACTCCGGAGCACCAGCC